ATATATATACGCTTGTGCGTGCTTGCGTGCGCGTTTTCGTTTGATGCCATTGAAAATGACAGCATATCGGATATCGCTTGTTTGATGTGTGCCATATGGATATTCACTTGCAAACCTTGGTGGTGTGGTCGTCGTGTGGCCGGTATGCAAGCTTGGTAGGCGCGCGCCGGTGGAGCATTTATGCCAGTAGACAACGTTGTTCACTTTCTGAATCAAATTAGTTGCGTACTAGTAGACAACGTTGCTCACTTTCTGAATCAAATTAGTTGCGTACAGGCTGTTCTCTTTTACTATGTTTGATAGTCCGCGACTTTTGCAGTCAACTGTAAGCTCAATGTTGCCGTCCGCCTTTTGTGGGAAGAATTTTCTTGATATCATATCACGAACAATGTTCTCTTCAGCTCTGTATGCAGTTAACATCCTGCTATCGTGCTACAGTTTAATCTACGTGTCTATCAGTTATTCATCTAACGATGGGACACGATTAATTTGGTGAAAAGAATCATTACCTAAGAAACAAGTCAATTCCAGCTGTGGTCAGTATGACGTAATCACACCCATTCGAATTTGTGATGAAATGAAATTGATCAGTGATCTATGATAAAATTAAATCGCTAGGTTCAATGATGATAAGTCGGCACAAGCTGAATGCACTTTTTAAAAGCAAAGAACGCGACACTGGTCGTCACGATTCTTTTTTGGAGCTCCAGTGACTGCTGAGGCCGTCCTGCTCAACATCACGCTCACATTATGTCACTTTGGAGACGCCACACGACCGGCCGATAACAGAACCGTTTATCGCGGTGAGTATCCCCAAACAAACCTATTAGCGTATCATCACAACAGAGCAGCGGCCATGCTGGAGTTTGAGAGCCAATCAGCGCCAGAGGGAACACCCGCGGGCAGAACTGCACGTCCAGCTTCGCCTCAGTGCATAAAAAAGACACGCCCTCCGAAATATTCGGCCTATTCAGGACCGTCCATCGTCCACACAAGATGGATGGAGAGCGGAGAGAGCCAGAGTAAGAGAGCCCGGTACCGAAACACGGAAGGGGAGGAAGCGAGGAGCAAAACCTGCGGGAGAGTGGCGCGCTGTCTCTCTCAGGACCGTCCCTCCCGCACCCTCAGGCAGCGTCTGGCACTCGGCGCTCGGCAACCGAAGTCATCGAAGTGGAAGGAACAATCGGATAGCTGCAGCCTGCTCGCCGTGTCTGGCCTCTCTGTCTCTCTCCTCAGCGTGGGGATTTCTCTGCGAAGCCCACGCTTCAGTCATCAGACGTGAACTGGATGCGAGAGCGCAATCATACAATGTCTGTTTAAAAGCCCACCATGAACTAAAATCGGATGCTCAAGGAGCCGGGGAGCGCACTGACACGCGCCGCGTGCGGGCCAGGGCTACGCGCCAGGCAGTAGAGAGGAAAAAATTGGCGATTAGTGCAATGGGGGAGAAGATGTAGGCAGCGCAAGCCAGGCCTGGCTCCAGCATGCTCGTTAAAGCGATGTGCATGGATGTTTGTTTCTTTTTACTTGATTTTTATCGGCACCACAATCGGCACCAGGCGTGGTCATTGTGATTATAGCTCGGATCGAGGAAGCGAGGAATGTCACAGCGCGATGAATGATGTCGGACCGGATCACAAGCAAACCGGAATCATGTCTCTTCGATATGCATCAGAAATTTTCGTGACCCGTACAATTATTTTCACGTGACATTGGAGCCGGGGAGGAAGAACTGTGCCATTTAGACAAGTAGAAGATCGTTTCGCGACGCACACGATTTTTTCATGTTAACTTTAAGTCGAAAATAACTTACTTTGTGATTTCACTCATTATCACCGATTGGACACTATGCACTGGATTGAGGCTGTTAAGCCTGCTAGAAAGTAAACTCAATTACGTCAGCAGGACGGGAGTATTTTGAAAGTTTTGTCTGTCCACATTCGATACGGGGCAATGAATCACTCCGAACAGGGTCATCGTTAGTTCTGCCCCGGAAATTGTCGTGATTGCTCGATTCATTGGCTGCATATGGACCCCTGGTGCAGAAAAACAGTAACTCCTGAGCGTTTAAGGGTAACTGGATTCAACAATTTCGGACAGAGGTCACACGTGATGGGCTTGAACTTCATCCGGATTAAATCATTCACTTCTATGCATATTTATTACGCGTATTTATTATGCGTATGCGTATTTATTTCCATTCACTTTAATCTTTAACTATGTCTTCTATGCTTGGCACCTCACTCGATATTTAATCACTCAGCTTGCGTCACAGTTATTCACTAATTGCTTGACGCTAGCTGGAGTAGCAATCATGCTCGAGCCCGAAGAAGTAAGTGCGTTTGAAGAGCATACGTGCTCGCTTTGATGCTTCGTAGTGCGCTACAGAGCGGCGTGCGTGATGAAACTGTCCTCTCCAGACGGCAAGGCCAGTCTCATTCGCGGAGAACGGTTGGAGGGCTACGATAAGAAAAACCAGTGCCATACAACTTTATAGACGTTGACAACCCGCGTAAGTGGGGGTAATACCGCGCAAGGCACTAGTCAAAACACTTATGAATAGCGTCATGCTTGGTGAGGCCGGCATACAAATCTCGGCTGTATGTTTCAGGCTGGCAGGCAATGAAAAACATGCTCTCATTCACGGCCATGACGGTGCCTGGGCGATAGCTAAGAATAAGAGCCACTCCGGGTCGTAGGACGAGGTTTTTTGCTGCACGCTGCTGTCCCATTGGCGCGGTACCGGATCTGTCGTATGCAACAACTCGACATGTCCAAAAAGAACCGCGACGCACATTACATCCGTGAGTTCAAGGGTTCTAAGGATCCCAATTTAGAAAGGTACTATGAGTCAGTACTACTTTGTGACCGTTTGTATCACTGGGGGACTAGAGAGTTACCGGAGCGAACTGAAAAATGGACGAACAAATGAAGCGTGAGGTATGGGGAGAATCGAAAGAACTCGTGAAACAGGATGAAAGAGGGTAAATTATCAGGATCTGCAGGAGCAACAGTAACTCACGCGTGCCGAAAGGACGAACGAATATTGAATATAAAACCAGCTAATGTTTAAAGGGGATGTTTCACATTCGAGGATATTGGAGCAAGCATCACATATGATGAAACAAGCTCGCTTATAACCACTGGAACGCTTTTTAAGTGGAAGAGACTGCTCTAGAAAGCACAGTTCCCTGTTTAATAAAAATGTTCCCTAATGCGTCAGGGTTTGATAACGCGATTGTACCTTGCACAACATCGAGAGCCAGTCGATGGCCGTTATGCCTGGAAATCGTGCTCACAAACGTCATATAGGAGCGCTTCGTCAACTCTATTTCCTTGATCTTGATCTCCGCATGGCTTATGGACTGACAGGATTTGAATAGCGTTATTATGACATCATAAATACCAAGGTGACTTCAAAATACCATCTACGACAACCTTTCCCCATTTTCGCGGGCGTTTAGCTCAGAAACTAGAGGGGTTTGGATATTGAGAAGGGCAGGATTGCAAACAGCACTGAAAGGTTTTCAAGATGGTTTTTTTTATTTAAAGCCGAATATGGATGTGGAACACTTCATTTAAGCCAGCTATTGTTTATCATCTATAGATACAGTGGCGGGAGTCATAGGGGAGACGCTATACAGTGCGCGCAATAAACCGATTCATGTCAGTCGGCTGTAGCGGAGGATAGGGGCCTCCACGGGCACCTGTTTTCCCCCATACCCAATCCGCCCGCTGCACATGACGTTTTACCCATACGGGCACGTGTTATCCCACACCCAATATACCAGCCGGACATGACGTTTCACCCCAACCACCCGTTACTTTGATCCTTTGTAACCTACTGTTGGAATTTTAAAAGCATCTTATTGATAATTTCCGGAAGAGCCTTACAAAAGTTTACACCCAAAACGTGCCCCGTCCCATTCATAGTTGCAAAAGCTGAGTGAATGGAGCCCATTGCGGCTAACAGCATCGCAAGCAGGAACATTACGTAGTCCTTCGTGAAGCATTTACCCGGAATTGCATAAACATCTTACCTATACACGTATCCGTAAAAGTAATTTTCCCGAATTATGCACCCAAACCATCTCGTTACCCACTCTATGTGCGTGTCCATGGGTTTACCCGGCCGGTGGATCCCATTACAACGGACGGAACACTAACAACTCCTCTCAATTTCATTATGTCAGTATCGTGACGTCAGCTCTTCTTCTGTGCAGTGAAGTTACCTCTGTGTCCCATCAGGTTCCGGCCGGCCCCTC